TCTATTGTCAACTCGTTTCAATAGTATTCCTTTCCTGAGAGCATATTTTCTCTCGAAACACTGTTTAGCAATCCCAAAATTATTATAAGTATATATTGAGATACAGTCTAAATTGAATGTGTCAAAGGAAGTTTCAAGAATTCAATTCCACCTTGAGCTAATCTCAACAGAAAATTACCAATTATAAATTCGAATACATCAATCGGAGTCAAGCTACTCTCCCAGTTAACTCTGGTGGTTTATTAGCCTCGTCCCTTTCACTGCCAGCTTTTTTTTCCAAATCTGTATTTGCATTATCTGATGCGAATTACTTGGATGGTGTAAATAAATGTTTATTCCAAACGAAAAATACCTTCTCCTAAAATGAAAAGTTTCTGGGATTATACAATGAATAATTTTTGGTTCATAGTCAACTTCTTCTTTGAGTACCCTCTTAGATGACACATGTTTTAGAATTCCGATAGTGCTCTGGTTAGATTCTTCAATAAGTGTTAGTCATAAGGGCAGATGTAGATCCACTATAGAAGAAACTGGTTATCATGGCCTAAGCTGTGAATTTAGTTCTGTTCAATTTTCAAGACATCATTCCATTAATGATCCTATAAAAAAAAGCTCTAGTCACTGCAGATGTACTTTCAATCGTGAAGACATGCCGAAATAAGGTATTGTATAGCGTTGTGTTTCTTGACTAAGACGTCTTATTATTTGTTGTATTATTTCCTGCAAACCCTTTCATTTGATAACCTCATCATGAAAGTGCATGAAATACTATTCCGCCATCTTGAGCTGCATGTAGTTTCACTTTTGTTTTGAAACAACATGCAATATTGCATGTAGGATGGCTTCACAATTCAGTTACAAGAATAGATATGTTGGAAAATGTAAAGGTTATATCTATCCTAAGTAAAATTACGGTTTTTCATAAAAAATATTACTCAACTCACCGTTAATCATTACATATTGTACAGAAGGTGAGGCTGTTTAATATCTCATGAAAATAATTAGATCCCATCAGACGCCATCAGCCAGTGAAGCTTTAACTCTACTTTGTATATATAGATGCTAAATTCAACACGATCATGCAATTACGGTGGGCTGGCACTCGGTGTGAAGGATTTATGACTGTATGAAAACATTTCTACGTCCCCCTTAACAATGTGTTGGGGAAATGGGAGCGAACGTGACGGCATCCAATCTGAAAATGAAAAGTGAGGGCGAGGATCTGAATCACGGGTCGATGACTATAACTTCAATATTCAAATGAATGCAACACAAGTTCGTATTCGTTAACTTAGAAAGATACGAAGAAATGTGTTTGCTGATGAAATTGTAGTGTTGTATATCTGCACTTGAATAAATATAGTAGGTGAAGTTAATGAAAACCGCAGTAGCTCCCATCTTTCCAAATTTGCCAAAGTATTTTTCGAAACCTGTAACCACACTGACCAGTTGAAGCAAATTCACGAAAAGAATATGCTTCCTTAACAAATATTATGGTTTTCATTGAAGCTATTCTTCGGGTTTGAAAGCCATTAATTTTTTGAATTTCTTCGTTCTTCAGAGGTTTACACATCCTGAGTTATTCTCCGATAACTGACTATTACTCAGGAAATTTTATGTGCTAATACCTGTACCTATATTAGATGAATTGCGTGCAAGTACCTATCCATGTGTGTCGGTTTTCGGTTAGTATAGCACCACATGGTTCGATTAGTACATCTAGGAATACTGCTGGTCCTGTTCAGTCTTCATGCTGAACTTGATGGAGTTTTGAGCATTCAAATGGTCTAGAAGAAGGTTTAGAAAGTATCTTCTATGTTCCCAGATGATGATGTCATCCACGTGACGTAGCCACAAGGATGGTTTCAATTAAAAAATGTCGATTGCTTTCTCTTCTAAACGTTCCGTAAAGTGATTGGCTATCCCTGGGCTGAGTGAACCTTCCATCGCAACGCCATCTAGTTGCTCATAGAAGTTTTCTCTCCATTGAAAGAAACTCCCCGTGAGACATGCTCTGAAGAGTCCAACTATATCACTCTGAAACAAGTAGGCTAGCCACCACAGAGAGTATTTCTGTGGAATATTAGTGAACAAGGACAGAAGCTGACCAGAATATCTGTCATCTTCAAAGTTGAGTTCCTAATTTCACCAACGAAGTCTGTCTAATCCTTGACATATACCCACATGAGGCTGGTGGAACGAGGCTAGATGCTTCTCGTGATACTAGATTGGAGAGCCTGGGGCACTGACTAATGATCTCAGTGGCGTGTCATGGATGGAATGCTCTAAGTATTTTTCTAGACCTCTTGAATGCTCAACACCCCAGCATCAAGTTCATCATGGAGACTGAACAGGACCAGCGAATAGCATTTCTAAATGTACTAGATGTGGTGGTAGAAAGTGTACCACAAAGTGTACCAAAAATCCACGCACACGAATAGGTACCTGCATGCATTATCGAAGCACCATCATTGTCAGAAGAGGGGAGTCATTTCTACTCTAACTAAACGGGCTCGAAAAATATGTGAACCAGAACATCTAGAGAAAGAACTAGAATATCTTCAATAAAATAATAGTACAACAACATGACTTTTTCCCCTGTAGATCCTTTCATACTAATATAATCAAGTTTACACATTATGTGTTAGAAAGTATGGATGATCAGATGCAAGTGAATGTTATCTATATGGATTTCAACAAGGCTTTCGATAAAATAAGTCACAACTTGATCATTGAAAGACTCGCGGAGATCGGGATAGATCAGCATCTTCTGGTGTGGATATCGTCATACATTACAGAAATGCATCAAGTTGTGGATGTTAACGGTTACCAGTCAGAACCTTTTGTGGTTACATCAGGTGTACCACAGGGGAGTCACTTGGGACGTTTACTTTTTATGATTTATATTAACAATACTGTTGAAATATTTCAACATTCCAACTTTTTGTTATATTCCAATGACCTCAAGATTTATCGAACCATCAAAGAAATACAGCACTGTGAGAGATTGCAAAATGATCTTGAAGCAATAGTAGCCTATACTTAAATATCGATGAATGTCACAAAATAACTTTCACCAGAAATAGAAATCCCATTGATTTTCAATATCAAACATGAAATCACACAATCAAAACACTTAATGAAGTACGTGATTTGGAAGTGATAATTGATTCCAAAATGATTTTTAAATCCCACATAGAGAAGACCGTTAAAATGTGTAATACCGAAACACTTACCAGCGACGCGCGACCTTGAAGTAGATGTTCCACAAAGTTTCAATCGAATTCCATAGAAATTGCAGAAAATTCAGCGGCATAAGAAAATACATGTGATTTTGGGCTCGTATCGGCCTTGTCCATCTACTGATTTGAATTTTCCGCTGTACGCGCAGTAGCTTCTGATTGATCGACTGAATGACGGCAAAAGTGGAGGAGTGAGGGTAGTCTGAAGAGGGCTTTGAAGGTCCAAGACCCAATTCACACAGAGGCGAGGCGTGGACCTTTGTCCCTTACGCGTCTCTGCCAGACGTCCGTGTGAATTGGGACTGAGGTCGTAGAATCACCAGAATGGACCTGCTCGAATTTGCACGTGTTTTTTCATATGGATTGACATAGATATCTTGCAGCTCTATTACTAGCGTTGTCATTTACATCTTCGGGCCCTTCTGTGAAAAGCTTGTACCACTTGTAAACATTTTTATGACTCAATATCACCGTATGCTGATGTCAACATCTCAAGTGTTTTTGAGCACTCGATTCCATTTTTCATACAAAATTTGATGCAATTTCTTGGATCCATTTTTTCCATAGCAGAAAATAGCCGAATAAGCAAAATCTCCAACGTGTATGCCTCTTACTCACAAAATAAGCATGCAAAACAGCTGAAAGTGTGAACATATGTTCGAGACGAGTGTACCAATATGTACCGCGAAATTTGAACATTAACCTTATTTTTTAACAGTCCACTATAAAACCATATTGTAACACCTCTGAAGCTGCCCCTGACCCATACGCCAGCCGATTCATCGAATAAATACATGATTCACTGCGAAAGAATGCAGTCTGAAACCGCCGTAAAAATTCTAGGCGAGTATCGAACAGACTACAGAATTCTACAATGGACTTCTACTGATATATAAGGCCAGCTATCGTCCAGAAAGGGGAGTTGAATTCAGAAAGTGAATCGAGCGGTTAAACATGGAATTCAAATAGTGAAAATAAATTAAGTGCTAAGTGTAAATAAATTAGTTTGTGATAATGATACATTGTTGGAAATGAATTTGTTCAAGAATGTTAATTCTTTAAATTGTTACAACATGGTTTGAAAGTGTACTTTTAGGTTTAGATGTCAAGTGAAATATGTAAGCATCTTTAATTTTACTGAAGTGGTCCAATTCAGTATCATTAATTTCATAAAGGCAATGCTATTTTTTTCTGGAATAGCTAACACTTGAGGGACACAGCTTGTTCTGACTGAATAATTTTTGAAACAAAGTTTCATACTAATTAATGTTCATCGCATTAATTCATCGCACACATTAATCACATATACGGGAAAAAAGTGGAACGAAGGTACTTCTCTTAGAAACTTCTGAAAAACCAGAATAAATGTAGAAAAGAAATTTATTGTAAAATATTTTCTGCTTTCTATTAGGGAAGTATGATTGAATTGAGTCTTTTTCATGGATTATCAGTAGAACTTCTGCAGTTTCAATTATTCAGTGGAATGTTTTCATCCACTTCATCAATTGCTTTTCAAAAACTTGTGTGTATAACATCTACTTGTATATTGCTATCCAAAGCTTCTAGAATATATCGTGCTATAGCAACCAAATCTGTTTTTGAATAATCATCACAAAACCATGCTATAACTGGGATAGATACCGTATTACGTACACTAGTGAAAATCTTGGTACATCGAATAATTTCCAGCAATTTTTGAAGATTGAATCGAAAAATCATTCAGATATTTTTTTAAAATAGTTCCTGATTTTGTTACAGGTGTCGAGCTCCGATAGCGAGCCTTGACTGTATGGAAGAGTTTAGTGCTGGTAGCGCCCTCAGCGCGTTGGCGGAACGACCAGGAGAAAGTACCATTACTAAGGAGCAACTTCTACTAAGCGGCCTTGCACACTCAGTTCCTGCAGCACCTCTTCAGTTAGCTAGGCAGACGTCAATCACGCCTGGATTGAGATATCGAAATTTAGGAAAAAGCGGGTTGAGGGTGTCAAACATCGGATTAGGTGAGTTGAGTGAGAATTTTGCAATTTTGTTTTCTCGTTACGTACATCTGCACGTACATCTGCAGTAGAAAAACATCAAGAAAATATCGGATTTAGAGAGTTTTGAAAGTTTCGAGGTTCGCAAATTATCCAACCGTTACCTTGTAGAAAAATATATATATGATCACAAGAAAATCTGTCATAGCATATGCAGTCACATCGTAAATTCAATCCGTTGTGGGTAATGAGAGGAGCCAAATTTGTTGGAAGTACTATTTTCTCAGACATATGCAAGCTAATATGCCTGATGTTGTCCTTGTCGACCATCTGGGTGAAGCGAATGCTATTGAAAACTCAACTTCATGCTTACAGATATCGCGTTATTTGCTCAGTCGATAATTGAATCATCTCATATAACTGTACTTGGTCAAATTCCTTTTCATCTAACACTCTTACATAATGATAATATGAAGCCTTTTCTACTTTTAAACCTTGAGATCATAGCGGCTTCCTTGAGATGACAGAAATCTGAGCCGTACAAATGCTAAGTTTTCTCAGGGCACACCATTTTTGCACCTAGTGATCACTTACTCTACGGTTATGTGGAGTAGTTATTGATTGAAGAAGCTAGCAGGTACAGGCCAGTACTCTGTATTTAGGTAAAACAGTTATGTAAGTCCCGAACACAAAGTTAGTTCACTTCAATGTAGGTGTTTTCTATGAATTTCTCTTTGAACTCGACTTCATATCAACCGATATTGTGGTTTTTGTACAATCGATAATCGGTCCAGTTCCTTGCCATCTAACTTTCTTTGTTTTCGATAATTTCATAATTATTTCATGCAACCCGAATATAACATCTCTTTCAGCCTCAAAATGGCATTCTATATTTTCTATGTCTATATCGGCGATGAATCTTTCTCTCTAGTGATATTGAAATTTTGTTTTATTCGAAAAAAAAAATGGAATTTTCAAACTCCAATCGAATAGGTATATTATATCCTCATTATTATTTAACACCTTAATTTTACTTTTTTTCAGGTACGTGGCCAACCTTCAGCCCGAACCTGACAGAAGAACAAGCCGAGCAAATTATTGTTCTTGCGGTTGAAAGCGGGATAAACGTCTTCGATTTATCTGAAGCTCATTCAGGTGAGTTATACTTCTATAATAGATCAAGCAGTGTACCAGGTTTCCTAAATGAAAAAATGGGAGATTCAGAATTCATATTTTCCAATAAATTCCTGCATCAGCAAGGAACACGTCTTGAACATGAAGTTCATAAAAAATTAATCAATCAGTATGGTATATTATCACTACATAGTATTAAACAAAGTCGCTTCCGCTGTCCCTGCATGTTTAGATCTTTCAAACTACGTAACCGTATTTGATGCAGTTTTTTATAGATAAAATGTTGATATGTATATATTATGCATAATTATTAACAAATTAATTTTTATGCGAGTTTAATTATAATCTAATTTCACCGTAAAGGAGAAATACTGTGTTTCAACTTTCTGCACACTGCCAATTCAATTTGAATTCTACAGTGTATGTTTTTTTTTATTATTATATGTATACAGTGCATTTCATTTAAAACGAGCCACCTTTAATAACTTTTGGTACGATGCTTTTCAGAAAAAATAAAAAAACGTTAACAATAGTACACTAGGAGGACACATTTTGACATATTCACATTTGATGTTACTTCCCCTATCGCACTTCCAGAGCACGTAACCAATTTTTCTTAAATGGATCACCCTATATTGTTTCGCATCATCAGATGCTCCATGATGAGCAGATTTCAACAAAGTATAAAACATGTGGTCTGAAGCTTATGGTTCGGAAGCTACAAATTATATAAAAAACGTCTCCAACAACTTCCATACAATGGTACATACGAGCTTCCATTGCCGCCCTCACATGGTTGAGAATCTTGGGAGTTATTTCTCTGCAATGCCTCATGATATTCTGTCTCAAATTTTCTAATGTTGTTGATTCTATTTCATTCACTTTAGACTTCAAATGACTCCACTTAAAGACCTTAAGACTTTGGTGGCCATTCTGTAGGACCTTGGCCACTGGAGCTGCATAATGAAGAGGTGCACCATCCTGCGGAAAAATTATTTCGTTTTCGAATAAATTTATATGCTCCTCAATTACCCTATTGATGGACGATATTATTCGATTCTCCAACATATCCGAATACCTGTCACTAGTCAAATTATCATCGATGAAAAAAGGTTCTATGATGTGGTCACCTGGAATTCCTGGCGAAACATTCAGTTTTTGAGGTCGTTGGATATGAACTTGACGGTATAAATGAGGATTCTTATCACTTCAATATCGACAATTTTGCCGATTCACCTATATTCATTCAAACTAAACCTATATCAGACAAACAAATTTTATACATGAAATTCTGATGCAAAACTGAAAGTCTCACTGAATACGTCTCACGATACGTTAATCTAAATCATCTTCGTTCAATTCATGAACTAGTCTAATCTTATATGGATAAAATTTGTACTTATGAAGGATCCTGAAAACATTTGTACGGCTGATTCTTGATTCTCGAGATAACTTAGTAAGAGATTGCCTATTTTCCATTAGTCCAACGTGCCCTAAAACTGCAGTACAAATAGCTTCATCGTTGACAACTCCAGAACGGTTATGCTTTTTATTGTTAACATATCCAGTTTCCATAAATGTATTCAATGATTCCGAAACATATTTGTGTCGCACATTTCTTCCTGGATGATTATCATTGAACATATGTGCAGCGGCCCAAGTACTATTTCCATTCTGGTAGTACAAATTCACTATTTCAATCCGTTCCCGAAGCGTATAAACCATTGCTTCTCAAGAATTCACAAAAACAGAAAGACCAATTGTAAGTTCACCTGCTAGGTAATCGTTATTGTAGAATGAGATAAATACAAAATGAAGAGAATATCGAATTCAAACTCAACTGAGCATGATAAGACTTTTTTGAAGTATACTTCTCAAAAACACTTATGAAACCAAGATAACAGATTGTACAGAAGTTAATTCAGGGTGGCTAGTTTTCAACTCAAATAATTTGTATTCTACTTTGTTGAAATCGGTTCATCATGGAACATCTGATAATGTAAAACAATTGATCCATTTTAAAAAAGATGACATGTCATAGGAAAAGTCAGATTGAATGTGAATATGTCAAAATGTGCCCCCCTGTATACTATTGTTGAGGTGTTTTTTTAGTTTTCCTGAAAATTATTGTTCCAAAAGTTATTCAAGGTGGCTCGTTTTCAAGTTAAATAATTTGTAGCTCCCGAACCATAAGCTTCAGACCCATGTTTTATACTTTGCGAAGCAATATAGGGTGATCCATTTGAAATAAATTGGTGATATGCTCTGGGGTGCGATAGGAGAAGTAACATTAAATGTGAATATGTCAAAATGTGTTTTCCTGTATACTACGGTTGACGTGTTTTTATTTTTCCTGAAAATCATTGTATCAAAAGTTATTCAGGGAGGCTCGTTTTAAATGAAATGCACTGTATGTATATCAGTGTTTTTATAATATACTATTCTATTTGTCTACTGATAGTTTTATGCGCTATGGTTGTATTCTATTTTACTTATAAATATACTTACTTATAAACTTCATTATATTTGTCTTGTAATTGGGATTACTCCTGTGAGACGATAAACCCTTTTTTTTATCATATAGTAGAAAAACACTAAATCGTTATTTTCAACACCTCGACACGTGTTTCGATCACCAAGTCGCCCATCATATTTTGCAACAAAACCATTTCATAGACTTCAGTTCATTAAGATTAGTTAGACAAGTTAACAACAACAGGCAACTAGATGCCTATGAGAGTGTAGAAATAAGTAAACACAATAATATTATGAATAACGATGACGNTCTTATGTGCGGAGCCGGGGCGGTCGCTAGTCACTTATATGATATTCTTAATTACTTAATTACTGATATGAACAAAGATTATCATCCCTCACATTTTTTCTGTCTCAATATTATATCAATGGGTTTGATATAACATATGTAAATAAAACTTATCAGCTGAGCAAGAAACATATATTACACACCCACCCATACATTACTTATGCGCCTTGCATTGTAGACCAAAAAGAAAAATGATTTTCATGGCAGTTAGTTAGTATATCTATCCTAGAACCCGGATTGTTAAGAGTGTGACAGTTGTTGGAAATTGTGATTCAAATTCGAAAATGTTTAATAATATTCAAGAATTCATAGTATTGACTATATTTGTGAATATTACTTAGATACTTTTGTTATTTTGATTTATATATTTCTTACAATGAAGTTGCCACTCGTATACAGTGTGGTCCACTAAGTCTGCAACAAATGGGAAACTTTTATATTATCGATTTCTCAAAAAAATTTATTCCTGACAAAAGTTGGTGCATGTTCCAAAACTATACCGAGTGTACCTGAAATGGCTTTATGACAAACACCATACAGGATAGGCCAAAAAATATAAAGTTCGTTCAGGAGTAAAGTATTGTTATTTCAAAAAATATAGAAATATGTTGAAGCCTNAATAGGAGAGTTTTTGGATGATATGGTATTAGAAGAACGGCAAAAGTTATGGTTCCAACATGACGGATGTCCTGCCCATTCTACTAGAAATGTTTCTCAGTGGCTGAATAGGACATTTCGTAATAAATGGTTAGGACGAAATACCGATCCTCGATGGCCTCCTCGTTCTTCAGACCTTACACCTCTAGATTATTTCTTATGGGGATACTTAAAACAAAAAGTCTACAGAGATCGCCTTTTCAGTAATGTGGATGAGTTTGAAACTTCAATACGAGTTCATTGCAGAAATATTCCCGCTAATGTGTTGCGATCTACATTAAACGAATTTTATGAGCGAACAATTAGATGCATCGAAAGAGAAGGTGGACATACAGAGACGCTTCGACAATTTTTATTGTTAGCACCTGTTAAGTTGTTAAGTTACCTACTGTATTTTTCTGTACTATCGCTAATTGGTTCTTTTTTGTTCATGGCTATCCGCGATAGATTCTGATAGTTTATTCATAGAACATTATACTTAGTAAAGTATTTGCCTTGTTAAAAAGAGTATTTGTTTTATTCTAGAGTTCTGTTGAATATAACTGTATATGAAACAAAGTCGAAAATCTACTGAACCAATTATCATGCGTTTCGAATTATTGGATTTGTCTTCACTCGGAATGGAAGAATAATTTATAACATGAAAAAAAAATGAATTTTGTGTTGCCAGATGCATTATTTTTGCTATATTTTCTGTTTTGGTTCTTAAGTTCTACTGTTTGTAAGTTGAAACGAACCGATGACTTGTCAATTTCTATCTTTGTGAAATGCCTGAAAATCTTAAAAATATGTACTTTTGTGATGTGTATCTATGAAATATATTTCCTCCTGTTTTTCGTATCAAATTACTGTATTGTATAATAGGTTTGCGTTATTGGTCAATTTCTCGCTGAACACCTCACAAAACTGAAGTCGACTATCAGGATCATTTTCGTTTAATTCCTGAAATAGCCTTATTTTGAAATGATGGAATTTGTAGGCTTTCAAAATCCGAAAAACAGTAGTAATTGATACTCCAGAGGCTCTAGCTACTTGTCAGATAGATTGTCTATTATCCATTTGTACATGTCCTAAAACTGCAACTTCAACTTCGTCATTTCTGATATCACGGGGTACTTCATGTTTTCTGTTGTGAACGTGAACAGAACCTGAAGTTCGAAACCATTAACTGTATTGTTGGCTCCTCAAGTTGTGGTCTGTATGATTCGTATTATAAATTCTTGCAGCAGCTTTAGCACACTCATTATTTCGATAATAGGTTGCAACAATTTCTATTCTTTTTTCTGTAGGAAGATCTTTCTCTTGAAGATGATCACTTGGTTATCGAAACACGTGTCTAGATGTTGAAATAACGATTTGGTTTTGGGAAAAACTCCAGTAATATTCACTTTATCCGTTGATTGTGTTGCCATTGATATTACTTTTGTTGATTTCCCCAATTAAATGAGTGACAGCGAATTTTCTCGAATAAAACTTTCAACATTTAATTTCTCAATAACGAATGGACCAATTTCGAAAATAACTACAGAAGTAATGGAGA